CTTCGCATTTCTATCTACTATAACAGTCTTAATCATCACCTTTAGTCATTGTCAATTTCTTATAAATAGATTTGTTGGCCTAGTATGTTCATATACATAATGTATGTGGTGAAGGGGTATGTCCAACATTTAATTATGATATGTAGTGATTGTTTAAAAGGAACAACAATCTTAGAAGTAAAGGATCATGATGGAAAAGCAGCTGCTGTTAAAGAAGTAACTGCATCATGTTTGAGAAAAGTGGAACCATATGCTGCTGCTGCCATTAGATTTATAGACAACATACTTCTATTTTTGCTCGATATTCATTGTTTTTTGTTTTTTTTTTAACATTTGAATACAATTTAAAGGCGTACATAAACATACATCATAGTAATAATGCTTTGGCATTGGTAAGTCATGGCTCTACCAAAACCATACACAGAGTGGTAAATAACGAGAATTCATTTATTTTATTTTCTGTAACGTAATTTTTAAACTAACTTAAATAACTGTGATCTAAACTCAAATGTTGGACTTATATTAGGATTTTACTAATGTTAAATATTTATATATATATTAATAATATAGGTTCATGTCGTGCACTGCCAATATGATGGAGGTTTCTACTACATAAGGAATACATAAAAGTAGTTTTAAAAAACTTGCAATCCTGCGATCACATGATGTCTTTACACATTATCTGAATAAATGTATTTACTCTGTCTTTTGTAAAACTCTTCTACAGTTTGTCTTACCCAATCCCATTAGAGTTTGTTTGGATTTCAGCAGAGTGTCTTGATGATTGTGTGAATACTGTCAGAGGCTCTTCCACTCCGCAAAGGACCCAGTGCACATTTCAGTGGGACAGTGAATACATCAAATTAATATCAGCGGTAACATTGCTGTATGTGTGTAAAATGTGTGGTAGAGTCACTTTAAAAACATGGGTAACAAAGGTTTGGTAGGATTTTAGCCCAGCGTGACTGATCCGGACCCTTCTGTGTTTGTCTACAGGTGGTGACTAACAGGGACACACTGGAGACCCTGCTGTGCGTAGCCTACGTCTTTGAAGTGTCCACTAGCGAGCACGGCGCACAGCATCATATTTACAGGCTAGTGAAAGATTGACACAGTCACACAGTTGGAACTTACCTGCTATAGACCCACTGTAGCACCTCAGTGAGCAACAACACTAAACAATGGACTACTTCCTCCGTGAGCTTAGAGCTGAAACCATACAACTCGGTCAGGAGCCCAGAGAAACACTGGCTTTGTCAGCGCGCCCAGGAACACTTCTACTGCTGAGGAGGAGCTGGATTTGAGACTGTGGAAGCTGAAAGAGGCTTTGTGTGAAAAGTGACAAGAAGAAGAAGAAGAAGAAGAAGAAAAGGACCATGACACACTGTGGTCTCTATACCAAAGGAGCCAAACCTAGCCAACAAGACCTGCATGAAAGAGTTGTCATTGGTGGTGTTTTCATCTCATTTTATTAGTGCTTGTTTTTGATTTAGATTCTTTTACACACATGCATGTGCAGGAGACGTTTGCTACAGAGGAGTTTGGCTGCCGCAGCGCGCCACCTAGTGGCTTAAATATGAATAACAATGGGGAAAAGTAATTGAAATTAGACTGAGAATCCCTCCTTTGCACATCCATAAGATATCACTGTTTTTGGTGCCAATCTTTTGTGTTATTTGAGCAATTGAGTAATTATGTACAGTGCCACATCCATCTCCTCTAAACAGAGTTATGAAAAAAAAAGAGGCTAAAATGATTTAAAAGAAAGAGCTATTGTATTCACTTTGTTTGATGTTGTCATATGTTTCTTGTATTGTCTTACTGTTTTTGATTGAAAACTATCTGACTACAACAAAAGGCACATAATAACACTGCTAACTTGAACCAGATTTGGATCTGTAAGCTGATTACAGAAGCTGTCTGTAACTGTAACTTGCCCTGAAGTGTCAGATGAAAATACAAGTGTTTCTTACATAACTCCTCCCTGTTGCCGAGTTTTGAATTCTGTGAAAACTGTGGCCACACACTGCGACATGTGGTGTAAACCTACAGATATATATTAGTCAATGTGAAGGGTTTTATTCTATATACATATCTATACACATGTAGTTTGTACATCCTGTAAATATCTCAGAGCAAATCTTTCACGTTTTCTGATACCCTCAAACACCTTGGCAGTCTTCAGGTGACATCACTGAGGTAACAGATCACTGAATAAATTTGGCTAATATAAATGAACTGCACTTTTCAAACATGGTTTAACAAAACAGCCTGCCTCTGAGATGATAGATAGCAGACTGGACAAACTGGATCATGTTAGCTCCTTCCTAATTCCACACAACATGCCAATGCAAAGCAGGTTTTCCACTCTGACAGAGCGCTGACAGAAGTGAATACAGCAAAAGATATCAGGCTCCATATGAAATCTGTTTGAATTTTTGAGTGTGCTGTTTGTGGTTTCCCACAATGCAATGCACAAGGTAGTAGAGGAGCTGTCTGCACCTGCAAAAAATTACAACTAATTGCAGATGGTGGTGATACAGCTCCAAAGACCTCAAACAAAAAAAAGAGGTAAGTAGCAAAAAAAAGGTTACAGTTTTTTCAGTACTGATTAATCTATTATTCAGTCTGAGGGATCAGTTAATTATTAGTCTGCACAATGCAAAAATATAGTAAAAATTCATTCCAGTTCCCACAGTCCGAGGTGACTCCTTCAGGTTGCTTATTTTGTCTGACAGTCCAGATCTTAAAGACGTTCCATTTACAAGGATAGAAAGTAGCAATGGCAAATCCAACTGTTGGAGCTGAAAATGTTCATGTAAATGTGAAGTTTAATTGACAGTGTCGTTTCAAGGTTGCAGATTGATGCCCATCTGTGCACATTTTGTATCAGTTTAAATTCAGTATGAAAAGTATATTGATTTCTTGATTGCAAAAATATATAAGTATAAGTAATGATTGTTTAATGGAAGTGACCATTGCCATCTGGTGGTGTTGAGACATCATTACATTAACGTGGTGAAACTCATCAGGCTGAGTCGAGTAACACGGTACACTGTGTACATGAAAACCAAATTGTGTTTCCTGATCTAGTTTCCATGTTAATCCACCTGTGGCTGTTCCAAACCAAATAATAAGTTTTGGCTTAAAGTTCCCACTGCTATGAAAAAAAAAAATCTAACTGGGACACAGGCCAGATACTTTACTAATAAGAAGGTTTAGCTGCTTTTCTAAGGCACTATACCCACAAGGGTTAGGACATCTGTACCTTATACATTCAGTAAAGACTTTTTAGCGAGTTGTGTAACCCTTTTGGTAATAAAATATTAAAGACTATCCATTTTTAAGAGGTTAACATATGATATGGAATCTAACACCACAGAAGTACGTTTTTGCTGTCAATTAAACCTGATAAATGCCATGGTATCCTCTCAGTTTCAATTAATTTCAATTTAAAATAGTCATACAGAGTGTGAAGTTGTAGCCTGTACACCTTGCACTCCTTTAGCTTCTTTATCCCAAAGAGGTGCCGTTGACTCCCAGGTGTAAACTGAGAACGTGGCACTGTGAAAGAGAGACAAGCTCACAAAGGGTGAGAGAAACAGCCCAACAGATGCAGCGAATCCAAAACCACGGAGCAAAAGGCTTATTCTGATAATCCCATTTGAAAGAATTCAGGCAGATTGCTACAATTATGGCAATCCACTCTCAGATGTCTGACCTCGCTGAGAACACACAGCTTGTTTTTCCCTGCAGAGAACAGAGGTTACCGGTATTTTTAGTCTGGTTCCTACTGAAACTAGAACAAGTTTTACTTTACGGTGTGATGTGGTGCGGTGAGGTAATACCTGCACTGTGGAGATTCATCTAAACCTCAGCAACAAGAATAACCGCAGGCCTAAATAATGACTGAGTTGCACATTGTGCTACATTTACAGTCCAGAAACTTAAATGAGATTTTAGATTAAAAGTCTAAAGAACAAATCTAGTTTCTTTTTTACCTTAATCTAATTTACATTCTAACTGTGCAGCTCCATTTGCAGAGTGAGCCTGTGTGATGTGTTTTTCACAAACACTTCTTGCAGTGATGTTGTATTTGATTATATTATAGCCTATTGTGTGTTTTAAGGTGCTTCTGTGTCCAGCCCTGTATATAATATTCTCACACTTGTATGAATATGATTGACTTGCGTTGTTAAAGCTTTGTAGATTTCTTACAGTATACTTATGTTTTATATATTGTTATTAAAGCAGGTAGTAGTAGGTACCAACCTGTCTGAAAGGTGTCCTCTTACAGTGCTCATCAGGTCCACACTCACTGAACACTTTATTGGGAACACAGGCATATTTGTGTGATTATACAATCAACCAATCACGAGGCAGCAGTGCAATGTATTAGGTCAGGAGTTTCAGTTAATGTTCACAAAATGTGATCCAGTGACTTTGACCGTGGCATGATTGTTAGTGCCACATGGATTGGTTAGAGTGTTCCTCTTTTTTTTTTCCCCCACATACAACAGTCTCTAGAGTTTTTACTCAGAAAGGTGCAAATGACAAAACAAAAACAAAACAAACATCGAGTGAGCAGCAGTTGAGTGGGACAGAAATGCTTTGTTGAGAGGTCAGAGGATGGTCGAACACATGAGAAACGATGTGATGCAATCATGTCAACATGGACCAAGATCTCGCAGGAATGTTTGCATCTTGTGGAAGAATTGAGTCTGCTTTGAGAGCAACTGCCCAGAATTAGTGTGGTGTTCCTAATAAAGTGCTCAGTGAGTGTCTGTGTCTAAATGCCGCGGCACAGCCTGGACACTTTACGCACGGCTGGGTCTCCACCTCCTCCAGGTGCGTAGCTCTGACTCACCTGGGGAAGAGAGACTGGTACCAGTAAAACCAGACCACTAACTTCACTTCATGCCTGTCATCTCCAAGCAATCAGCTTCCCAGACAATGTCGATGCCTCGTAATTTAACATGGTCTGATTTACATTACGCGCAATGAACGTCACATGGGGTTTGCTGACGGTTTTGAGTGTGGTGTGCCACACAGAGTCGAGGTGCTCACCGACCTCTTATTATAAGAACTGCTGGATCCGACGCTTCCCGGGTATTTTCATCGACATCGAGGAGTCTCAGAGGAGAGGAGCGCAGCTTCTCAAGTATTACCAGGAGGAGACGGCGCTGAAATGCAGCCGCACCTGCTGCCTGACGAGGAACTGTGAGTAATGCTTCTTTACTAGAGGAGTAGACGCACAGATATTGAACTGTGCATTTCATTTGTAACTGTACACTATCCCTCCACTTTTCCTCCTACAGTTTCCTGTAATCTGGCCATATTTCACTATGATACTACTCAAGAAAACGTCAACTGCGTCCACCTGCACTGTCCAACACTGGAGAGCTGCATCCTCAGTCACAGAGGCAACGTTGTTTTGTACAATATCACAAAGGGTAAGTCACCACTGTCCAACCAGTAATAACATGCTGAAGGTTTTTTTTTCAGTACTCTAATTCAAATATATAGATATATATATATATTCCCTAAAATTGTATAATACAACACCTTATGTGCATATCAAATAAAACCAGAGCCTACTACACACTCGAGGTCTCTATTACTTTTGACTACAAGATGCATATCAGTTCTATATTACTACCTCTAGACCCTAGTTGTAGCGGGAAGTAAAGTAACTGGTACATTTAATGGATGACTTATGTACTATCTTGAGGTACTTGTAGTTGGCTTGAGTATTCCTATTATCTGCCCTTTTATACTTTTATTTCCACTGCATTTCAGAGGGAAATACTTTACTTTTCACTCCCCTACATTTATTTAACAACTACACTTATTGTTAGTTTGCAGATTGAAATTTTGCAAACAAAACACATGTTTTCATCCTATAAAATATCTTATTATCCAGCAGTTGTTAAAATTATCACAACTTTGACCAACTACAATTAAATGCTACTGACACACTAAAGCATCAGTGACAATGACATAATGATATATAATAGGGGTCGATTTTTTTCTGATACTTCAAGTAAATTTTTCTACAAATACTTTTACTTAATTGAGATTTATTGGTAGTACTTTCCCAGGTAAAGTAAGACCCACCACCCCTACTATTACTACTACTAGTAATAATAGCAAAAGCTGTTTTTAAGTCTTTAATTCATTTCTTTATTCAAAGTAAAAAACTCAATTTTTTTAGAAAAGTAAAAATTCATTTATTATTCATAATTAATATTCATGATAAAAATTAAAATGACACTCATAAATCTCTTCATGTCTCAGGGGTGGATCCTGACCTGCTGGTGTTTGGAAAATACTTCACCTCCAACGTGCGCGTGTTACCCCACCACTACAGTCGAGTCAACGCCTCAGAGCCGCTGCCCTCAGACAAACGCCAGTTCATACATCCACCTCCACCCGCTGTCCTGCCTCTGACCTCTGCACCGACCGTTAAACCCCCCACCACAACAAGCAGAGTGTTCACAACCGCTGCTGCCACTACGCTGCCGAGCACCAGTCAGCCTGCAACTGTTTCCACAACTACAGCCACATTTTCTTCCACTCCATCTGCTCCTCTGACAGTCCTGGGGAACCATGCACAAACAACAGCCCCAACCACCTCCTCCGTTTCTCCTGCGCCCAGCTTTACTACGCCTCCCTCATCCACAGCCACCACTCCTGTCTTTTCTACCACAACTGCACAGCCCTCCACATTCACCCCTATCCAGCGGCACATCACCACCTTCTCTCAATCAACCACCAGCCCTCCAGCCTCCACAGCCCTTATGGGTAACACAGAGAGCAGCAAGCAATACCCCAATGACACCGAGGGCAGCCTGGGGAGGAACCACACTGCAGGCGCTGAGGGAGGTCAGGGAGTCAGCGGGGAGGACACTTTAGGGGGGTTGGGACCTGGGTGGCACGTAGCCGCTCACACCTTGCTGGTTGCAGTGGCCATCTGTATCACAGTGCTGCTGAGCTGCTGTTGCTCCATCCTGCTGGTGGTGAGCTGGAGAGGTCAGAGGAAAAGGATGGGACGCTACCGACCATCATGGCGAGGGAAGAGAGGCTCCATGCGTCTCATAAAGTACGTGCTGGTCAGAGAGAGTTCCTGAAAGAGAAGCCAAGAGAAATAAACACTGAACCGACATTTCTCTTTTGTTTACAGCAACGTTTTAATGAATGAATCCAGGATGAAAAGACATTTGATAAGTCATTTTTACTGTTGTATTTTTCTAAAACACATTTTTACATACTGGTTTCTTCAAATAGCAAAGATATATCTTGATATTGCTTTATTTGAAACAGATAGGGATGGAAATGTAGTTGCTGTCAACGGATGCATTGATGCAGAAATACTGTATATTTAAACTGAACAGGCAGAGGTATTTTATGGCTTAGATGAGATTATCAAAACACCGTTACCATGATTTTGGTTTCACTTGTGACTTGATGACTTCTGACAGATGATCCAAATTCAGCCAATGTATTTGACCACAGCAATTTGCCTCGAGAAAGACGATATATAGTGTACATTTGGCTGACCTATATTTTGATGTGCTTCAATGAGTTTAAACTGATGTTGATGCCAAACCTCGAGGACATTTGCCAGCTGTCTGCACTGGTCTTAAGTGGGACTTGGGCGCTTCCAAGCAAAAAAAAAACAAAAAACAAAAACTGCTACAATTCAAGGTTTGTTCAGATTGTCAACAATGTGTTGTCCTTTGTGGAGCTGAAAGAGGAATCCTTTTTGCTTTGTGGCCTTCAGTGTTTAACCCTCCCACAGTTGAGGACATCTCAGTGCATTGGGTTTCTTCCGACCTAAAAGTGCACGGACCACAGACCAAAACTCTTTAAGAAGGGTGAGGCGCTTTTCAACAGCCTGCTGCTGAAAGCATCCTTTCACTGTGGTGCCGCTCCTCGCCCTGATAGTGACCAGAGTGGGATTGGAGCTGAAGCTGAGCCAGGAACCGACTGAAAGGAGCTTTTAAAAAAAATAATAAAAGCTTTACCCATCATGCACATGAACTTCCTACAACTTCAAGACAGAACACTGATTGACAATAGAATACATCAGACTTTTATTTCTGTATTAGACAAGAAGAAAGATCACACACCTGATATGACAGCAGATCTATTTTAGAAAATAAATACATTAGTTGTAGACTCATGAGGCTGTAATTATCTTCACTGATCTCTTGTTTGTGCTACTGGTATGTAGATGGAGTCCATTTATGTAGATCCCATTACAGGCCCCTGTTGCTCTTGGTCACTGTCTTCATGTAAATACATTTTTACATTAAGCCGGATCACAGGTTGAGTACTTTCTTGACAGCCTCCTTGTACTGAAGCATGGTGCTCTCGTTCTCTCCTTCGTTCTTCAGCCTTGTGACTGAGTCCTTATACTCCTGCACCTCACTTCTTCCCAGCAGCTGCTCTCGCACTTCCTCGTCTTCTCCTTCCCCGGCCGTTTTCATGCGCACTAGCATATCCAAGATATTCTTTTGGGACGGGCTGTCCTCCCAGCTATATTCTTCCATGTCTGCCACAGTCTTCTCCGCCTCCCAGGCTTCTGTTTTCTGAAGAATGAGAAAAACAGAGCATCTGTCAACTTTGCATGCAGATGGAACATTGACTCAACTTGACTGAAAACAGGGCTGTCCATAGCATTGGGTTTAAGAGCTGTGTATGTTTTATTATATACAGTTTTATTTTTATGTTATGTATTTGTAGGAACTTAAAGATATTAAGAAGCACGTTTATAGTATTCAATTGAGGTTCAAGCTAGGCCTCTAGCTTGGAACACAGTATGGCAGCAGATGTAAAATATGAGGGTCCTTGGTCACCCCTCACCCCGTCTTTGATGCTCCTCTCACAGAGATAGTATTTCTCCATATGTAGCGCTCTGTCTGCTGCCTGTCTAGCTGTCATCACATTCCCTGGAGAACAATAGGCTCCAGTGTGCAGCAGCTTAAAGCAGGGCAGCGACAGAGCCTCAGCTCTGCAGCTCTCCAGGTGTTTGAGGTTAATGACCATCATTACTGTTATACATATCTGATCCACAGAACATCCCATCTGGATCGAGTCCAGGTCCTAGTGAGTTGGTATCTATACTTGGGGATAGATCAATAGCTTTCTTTGAAATCATGAAAACTTACTGAGCTGAGCAGTTTCGGTTTTAGATCAAAACATTTGCAGTGTGTCTCGCTGAAATGAAGGATCTGCATTATCCTCTCACAATGAGGTTATAACATTTGATTTTACGAGGGAAATCCATTCATCAAAGTAGTTTGGTCATTAGACATGATATCTGATAATGTGGCAGGAGACAAATAGCCACCTGTTTTCTCAGTTGAGTTTATGTACCTGTCAAATAGCGTTTTGATTTTCAGTTGGGGGGGAAAAGGGACAGGTGTTAGGCACGAAGGCCTCTAGTGGTAAACGTCCCCCCACGATAAGAGGCAGCTTTGAGCAGTCAGCCCCAGCACTGGCCTGGATTAGCACACACTGGAATTAGCAGGGAAGCTCCGTCTCTCTTAGTGGGGAAATAAAATCACCTCGGTGGCTGCGAACAATCGGTCTCTTTGTGGGATAGCATTACGACCTGAACGCTACGCCACTCTCACAGCTTCCACAAGCCTGCTGGACAAGCACTGTGCCTTCCATTGTGTGTCCAAAAGGGCAGCGGACAGTGTTCTGCCTCCTGGCTCGGACACCTTTCCCAACTGAGAGATTTTCTTTTAATGTGACTAAGCCGTGATGGGAAAAGCTCCTAAAGGCAGAGGTTGCACAATAGGAGGAGTCATTTTCTTTTATGTGGCTGGCTGCACATTCATGCGATCAGCACCTGGGCTAATGACCCGGTGGCAGACTTCTCTGATGTGGCATGGTTGGCTTAATGCAAATGAGTATCAGGGTCAACACCTGATAGGGGGAGTCTGTTTTCTCCTTATCTGTGGGGAAATGTCAGCTGGACAATGCTGCTGTTTGCCATCCTTTTGCCCATTCAACTCCGATACCTCCCTAATGGGCTCAGTCTCTCAGATCGCAGAGCAAGATGGACAAGAATTCCCCTGGTAAAAGGTACTGTGCCATGGCGCTAGCAGGACGTAAATATCACCAACGATGCAGATGAAGGAATAAAAATATTTCACAAAATTGCCCTAAAAAAATGCAGAAATGCACTGATGCTAACACCACCCTTAAACATTACAGCTTGGCCATGAATTACACTACAAAATACAGTTGCTGCAATACATGAGATCAGCCATTATCCTGCATCTGATCTCAAACGAACCTCTCAAAAAAGATAAACACACTGAAGGAAAGTGACAGCAGGTCATCAGTACAAGTAACGCCAGAGCGCAAACGGCATTTAAATGAATGGATACTTGTTGAAAGAGGATGAAAGGTCAGTAAACAAGAAGAGCGACTGAGGAGAAGGCCAAATTCACAGGAGACCGACAGACACAGCTGTCTGAGCTAAAACCTGGTAGAGCTGGTTAGGGGTCGGGTAGGGGCTGAAGATGGATCTGTTGAATGGCCTGGCTGAAACTGAGTGACATGTAGACTAAACTGGCATTTTGTTAATACTCGATTAATCTGTGACAATTGCTGCTTCTTAATTTTGGCGAGGAGCTTATTTTTCCCTCCCCGGTCACTCTTGGGTTGCATTTGTGTGCTCGCTCTTCAGTTAACACACAAAGTGGCGGACAGAGCTGAAGAAAAACAAATATTTCTTACTCACCCAAGACTCGTGGTAAAGGACAGTCAACAGGTACATGGCATAGTCGTAATTCTGTCGTCTCAGTGGGCAGCTTGTACAGAGAGGGAGGAAAAGACAAAAGGGTAATTGTTTTTTATTTCCTCACTTTATTATTATGTATACTAGACTATTACAGAAGCAGTGTCTACCTTTCAGTTTTGATGGTGAGGACATCAGTTTTTTTGCAGTATCTGTCCCCAACAAGTTTCAGCATTTTCTTGCGTGCATGGTCATCCAGATTCAAACTGGACAGCTTTACCTTTGTGGGCAATGACACCAAAGATTATCATTTGAGAAACACAAATAATGTGAAATCGTTTAAGCAGCAGTTTTCTACGTAAGCCTTTTGGGATGGATACATTATCAGAATGTAAAGATAAATAGACAAAAAGATTAGTGCACAAGTGATTTCATCGTAAACCGTCTCTCTCGGCTGTATCCCTATCTCTTTAAATACGCAAACAAAGAACAATGTTTGAATTTTTACCTGCAAAGAGCTTTCACTGTGTTGATTAAAATGCTATACTTTTTACAGATGAAATCACAGCATGTATGCTGTGTCCCAGAATAACCTCTAAGCCCCTTGCAGAGATGATAGATGGAAAACAACAGAGATTATTCCTTGATTACATTCGCTTTCATGGCTCTGATTTATGTAATTTATACAATGCAACAAAAGTGCATTTATAGGTAATACAAGGTTCATGTGTGCACGTGTTCTGTGTACTAGACCTTATGTACTGACAACACAAAGGTGAAATCCGTTGGAAGTGGCTCGACAAACATGCACAGAGACAGCATTAAAGTCTGTTTCCTTTTGAGCCACGTCTGTTTCCGGATCAATCCCTGCCACAGATTTTGTTTCTAACCCTGTCTAAATAAACATCAGAGTAACTAAAAGAAAACTTACTGTGTATGCTCCTCATTCAAACTCTGACTCAATTTTTATTAAAGTGAAAATGGGGGTTTGTTCCACTTATTCTGTACTTGGAACCTAACTGTGAGAGATTAGCTCTCCAATCTATCTCTCTGCTTAATCCACTAGGATTAATGTTTGAATAATTCCTACCTTGCTGATATAATCTAAGGCAAAGTGTCAGTGGAGCAGATGGCTGGTGATTAATGGTAAAAAATGACACATTTCCACCTTTTACAAAAGACAGTTTAAGTTCCTGAGTATCTGGGTTGTAAGACAGGGTTTCTTTTGACATGTTTTAGAGTGACAAAATCCATATGATGTAGCCAGATCCAAGAAACAGAAATATTATTCAGATATGGAAAACAATATATGCAACAGAGAACAATACTAAACTAAAAACTTTTTTTTGCCATAGTCCAGATGATGGACTT